TCCAAATCCAGATGGCCAGAGGCAGGGGGTTCACGGGGTGCTGGAAGTCACGCCTGTACGACACGGACACAGCCTTACAGGAGAGCAGCGCAGAATCTCCTAAGGGAACATCCCAATGTACCTGCTCTGCTTGGTTTTAAGGAAAAAAAAAAGAGTATATATGGGGTGGCCGATACAGGGACTGCTAGTTCAGAGGTGCTAAGGAACAAGAGTTTTTGCATCCCCTTTGCTGAGGCTGACACCGGGCTCTTTAACAAAGCAGGGCAGATTCCTTGTGGGAGAGTTAGATATGGAAATGTTCACTCAGGCATCCAAACCCCCCTCAGCCCCCCGAGAAGCGCACGCGCCCTGCAGCCCATCTTAAGCACCGTAGCCCCGTTTAAGGGAGGGATTGCTGCTGTATTGCGCTACTTGATCTGCTCACCAGGGCGTGAGGAGGTTAAATCCAGGTACATTTTCACGAAGGCGAGTACATTTAGAAGCAGACCACCTACCAAAACACTGTGGGCACTGCGGTAGAGTTTTAACCAGTTGCTACAACGAGCCACCTCCTCCCCTTTCCAGTCTGACACTGGCAGAAAAAGTGCCATTTGTGACGGGTCCCAAAATCTCCCAGAGGCTCCACGCTGCCCTCGCTGAGGAAGGGAACCCGAACATCGCCTCTTGTACAGCAAGCAGCACTAGCTCTTCTCCACAGCAAACAGAAACCAGGCACAGAAAACCTTAAATTGAACTAATCCGTACGAGCATCTGTGGTATTTTAACAACAGAATAGGAGGGGGGGAAGCTACTTGCCTCTAACTTCCACTGGTTTCTTCTCTGTAGGTTTGGGGCGCAACCACCCCTGAAAAGCCACCGGAGCCCGCCCCTGGTTTTGTCCCAGAAAGCAGTTCTACCACCCGCTGCTCCTCTTCTGTGCCCGCGGGCCACCAGAGCCATTTGGAGAAGCCTCGGGAGACTACCAGGGCTCCCCCGCTGCACCTGCGCTCCGAATCCGTCCCTACTCACTCCTCCTACAGCTTTACGCCCCCGGTCCCGCCCGTGAGGACGCTGGAGAGCAAAATTGCCGCCGCCATGCACTCGAACAACGCGGACGCCATCAACAACTCCAATTACCACACCTTCCTGTCTTCCTCCATGCTGGCCTCCTCCGTAGAGGAAGCCCTGCTGCCGCCCCCGCCCAAGCACGCTTCCCTGCAGTCCGTGTACGTGCCGCATCCCAAGCCGGAGAGCATCCCCGAGCCCCCCGGGCCAGACAGCTACCTGCACCACAAGCCACCTTCCCTCCACCAGTACAGGCCCGAGAGCGTTCCTCCTCACGTCTCCTACCACGGCAAGCCCGACCAGCACCAAGCCTACCCTCCTCGCTCGGAGACGCCCACTGCCGCGGGCTCTCGCTACAACACCTACGCGAACCAAGGGAAGAGCGCCTCGGCTCTCCACTCCAAGCCTCGCAGCCGCGCGGAGTTCGTGTCCTCCGTGAGCCCCACGGGCCTGCGTAACGCCAGCTACGCCGAGGACGCGCCACCCTACCCCACCATCCGAAGGGTTCAGTCGCTGCACGTCCCCACCCCCGCCGCCTCCGCCATCCGCTCCGTTCCCATTTCACGGACCGAGGTCCCTCCGGACGACGAGCCCGTGTACTGCCCGCGGCCCCTCTACCAGTACAAGCCATATCAGCCCCACTCCGACTACCACGTCACGCAGCTGCAGCCTTACTTTGAGAACGGGCGGGTGCATTACCGGTACAGCCCTTACTCCAGCTCTTCCGGATCCTCTTACTACACCACTGCTGACGGGAGCTTTTACGACCTGGACCCCTACAGCACTGTGCGGGTCAGGCCTTTCCACCCCCTGCCCAGCCGAGACTTTGCGTCCTACGCCTCCCGGCTGCAAAGCAAAGGCCTGTACCGCTACCCCAGCTTGGCTGCCTACCCTCGGGGTGGCCTCATCAGCCACCTGGCAGGCAAAGAGCACAGCTTCATCAGCAGAGACGTGCCTCCTGCCCCGGACATCAAGCACATGTACATGTCGTGGGACCTCGAGGACATGGAGAAGTACCGCATGCAGTCCATTCGCCGGGAGAGCCGCACGCGCCAGAAAGTGAAAGGGCCGGTGATGTCCCAGTACGATAACGTGGCCCCGCTGCTGCAGGAGGAACTGGGAGGACTGGATGTGATCCACTTGCGCAGCAAATCGGATCCTGGGAAAACTGGCCTCCTCACCGTGGCAGAGGGGAAGGAGGGGAGGTACCCGGCCAAAGCAGCCACGCCGGAGGGGGACGAACGTTACTACATGCAGCACCCCGAGCCAGAGCTGGACAGAGCCCACTACCACGGGGCCTACGGGAACGGGCAGTCGGAGAAGCCGTCCCTTCCCCAGAAGCAGAGCAGCGTCCGGAACAGGAAGCTGCACGAGCCGGGCTGCAACGCGACCGAACACAGGACGCACTTGCAGCAAGAAGCGAGCCACAGGCAGCCTCCCGAAGCCAAAAACGGGCCCCCTTATCCCGACTACAGGCCCAAAGGTGGCCCAGAGCCCTCCGAGCCCATCGGTTACCAGCACTCGGGCGGGAAGTACATCCCGGCGAACCAGGAGACCCTGAGACTGAACCACAAGGAGGTGAGGTTGGCGGAGGACAGGCCGGATTTAGAGAGGTCTCGAGCCAGACCGACCCCATCCATGGAGAAACACTCCAGAGACTGCTATAAAGAGGAGGAGCACGCCGCCTCTCCCATGGCGCCGCCCCCCAAGCCTGAACGGAGCCACAGCCTCAGAATGCAGCACCCCGAAACCATGGAGAGGGACTCTGCCCTCCTCTACCCGTACCAAACCCTTGGGAAACGCCAAAGCACTATGACTGTGGTGTCCCAGTACGATAATTTGGAGGATTACCATACCATGCCTCAGCACCAAAGAGGGGGCTATGTTGGAGGAGGGGGGTTTGTACCCCCCAGTTTTACCCACGTGCACAGTAGAACTTATGCCACGGCCCTCGGCCAGGGAGCCTTCCTCCCGACGGAGCTGTGTTTGCAGAGGCCCGAAACAGAGGTCCACGTTGAGTGAGCCAGCGTGGGGGGAAGGAGGGATAGAGTCTAAGCAGCCTCTGCTGGACAGCGGACTGTTTTATTTTTTCAGAGACAGGAAAAACAAAGAAAAAAAAAAAACAAAACAAAACAACACCCCCCCCCAACCTTGCCCCGATGAGCAAAGCAAACCCACCTTCAGCCCCACCCCTACCAGCCCACCCCTCACTGGTTTTATGTCGTAGAGATAGAGCTTTTTCATGTAGTTTTGAGACAACTGGAACGACAGGGCAGGCTGTCGGCACACAGATGTTGCCAGAAAGGCCGGGCAGAGCTGAAAGAGATGCTGTCGGGGCAGGGGGGCGGGAAGGAAAAGGTTTTTTTCCTTCCCCAGATTCGACATGGGCAGTTCCCACCGCTTCCTCACCGCGCATGATGGGCTGCACGTGCGGCTGTTCTCCCCGCGGGCACCAAGGTGCCCGTCCCACCTCTAGGTTCCCAGAAAGGGTCTCCGTGACGCGCCGTGGAAGAACCACTGCTCTGCCCCCTCTGAGGTTACGCAGCGAGAGCGGGCGAAAAGCTGGGCAGGGGGGGAAGAGACTTTCCGAGTATTTTCTTCTCCATAAATGCCAAGGTCCTGCCTCTCCCTTCAAAAATCGCTGCTTAGGCGTAGCGGCTCCGCTTCGAAGCAAGGTGGGCGCCTATTTTGACCTCAAGCCTGTGGAATGGGCTCCGAAGCGAGTTCAAAAGCCAGCGCGCTTTTTAAATCGCTTGCCTAACAAGCCGCTTCTGACTACAGCCAATCAAATCGACCGCAAGAAATTGATTACAAGAAATCAAATTAAATTGGTTTCTTCAAAATTTCTCTGCTGTAAGCAGAGGCCGGCTGCGGGAGCCAAGTAGGGCAGGTTTGCACCTCCCGCACCCAAAGAAACAAAACGCAAAAAGGCACCGAACCGCACGCGCGCAGCTGGGAACCGCGCACTCATTTCACGCCAGTTCCTCTTTACTGCTAGGCTGCCTCCAGTCCACATGACTGAATACCACGACACTGTCTTGCCAGCCACAACATCTCTCTACAAAAAAAATTTAAAAATACTGTAAAAAATAAGATCTCTATAGCATTAGGTCCAGCTTGTAAATCAGAGCCCAGCTTAGCCAGCTGGGCATGACTGTAAGCGCCAAGTTCTCTGCATGACCAGCTGTTTGCCCCAGGCCAGATCCCGCAGCTCTTCGATCAGGGAAGTGAAGCTCCTGCTGACCTTAAACCGCGGGTCTACAGGACACAGCTTTCTGTACCCTTTGAGTACCCCGTGTTGGCAAGGAGATCCCTGCAAAGTTGTGGCACGTACAGAGTAGTTCCGTGCTGTCTGTGCGCTGTGACATAGTATCGCCTCCCGTAGCGCAAGCGTAGCTCGTACCGGTGTTAGCAGCAGGGACAGAAGTCGAAGCTCCTGCTGACCTTAAACCGCGGGTCTACAGGACACAGCTTTCTGTACCCTTTGAGTACCCCGTGTTGGCAAGGAGATCCCTGCAAAGTTGTGGCACGTACAGAGTAGTTCCGTGCTGTCTGTGCGCTGTGACATAGTATCGCCTCCCGTAGCGCAAGCGTAGCTCGTACCGGTGTTAGCAGCAGGGACAGAAGGCCAGTGCGCTCTGTAACATGCCGATCACCTTGTCCTGAAAGCTTTCCGTGTTGTAAAAGAAGCTGCGGAGCCTCTCGGGCTTCCCAGCGCTCGCCACAACCCCACCTTATAAATAAAGCACATTCATTTGACGGGGCTTGCAAGCAATACTTGAGATTTAGGAGTTTTTCAATGTTCGCTGATCAATTCCAAGGCCATTCCTGTTCCGCGCGGCTGAACAACTTCTCTACCCATTTTGAATCTATTAAGCTTTATTAAAAACCCGGAGGTCCTGCCGTTAGCACACAGCTGGGAAAGTTACAGGGGACCTTAGATGGTTTTTTGAACAAGAGTTTCATGGCTATTTTGGGGCTTTTAAATCATAAGGAAAACCTGCTTCTAGTAGCTAACTAGTCTTTAGCTATTTGCTTCCTTCAGTCTTGCAGCCTTGTCCGGGGCTGCCTCAGTAACAGTACCTTATGGTCCTAGTTTGTTGTGCAATGCTGTTGTTTTAAGCGTTTCGTTTAGAAGAGCTGTTCTTACACGTTATGGAAGTAAGTCTGGCAGTCAGAAAAAAGGAGAAAAAAAAAAAAAAAAAGCAGCACTGTGATCCAGGTTACCCCAATCTCCTTGTGAGTAATTACCAGGTAGAGGGGGTGGGTTTTTTGTGAGGGAGTGCTTTCTGTAATGTTTTCTTTTAAGGAAAACTAACAAAAAATTACCTATAAAAAAAGGGGCCATTAGGTGAGCCACGTTGTGGGCCACCCCGTCTACGCTGCGAGCTGACTCCCTGGGAAAGGCTGCCCCGTCCAGATTCCTCGGTGCAGGCTCGCCAAGGGAGTCCGGTTTAAGGACGTGCTCTCTCGGGAGAGCCGTGTGTCGTGTTAGGACCAGCACCGGTCCTAAGTCCTTGTAGCGCCGTCTCCCCACAGCTGCCAGTTACCTGCCGAAGTCTCCGGTTGAAGCAGGGACAGCGCGTTTTTTGGTTCAGGCTATTTGGGATTCAGGTCATGAGAGCTGTAGGTCAAACCTCTCTCTCCACGAAAGCCTTAACTCCCCACTCCCGCCCCCGCCCCCCGCAGCAACTCTCCTAACCTCCATTTTTGGCCTTACGTTAACCAGGACTATCCTACTCTGAGGGGGCTGAACCCAGCTCCCACCAAGTGTAGGCGCCTCTGGATTTTCCTGCTCAAAGCCACCGTCTCCCTGTAGAGATCAAGTGCCATCCCTGGACAACTTCTGTTCCTCTCAGTCTCGTGCTGCTACTGCCTGAGCCTGTATGAAGTGCCAGGTGCCAAGCGCCCCCGTCCCGTGGGACGCAGCAGCTTTCAGCACCTTTCAGAAAGAGCTCCTAGAAGCGCACACCCCGGCACCTGGGGGGCTGCCACAAGCAGCCTTCCCCTCGAGAGCGAGAAGGTCTCCATTAGGAAAAAAAACAGACACACTAGGAAATACCATCCCAAGCCGTCCACCCGCCCCTCCGCACACAGCCGCATCGGTGTGTCCTCCGAGGGCTGGAAGCTCTCGGAGAACCCAAACTGACTTCTGCACCCCGGTGCTGAGCCCCAAGTACACCCAAAGCAGCAGGGTTAAGGCACCAGCCTTGCCCACCCAGCCGGTACCGCAGGCGAGCGCCTCTCTCGTGGTGTTGCCGCTGCCCGGGGCTTAAACATCGAGCACGGTTCCGCCTCATCCCCGCGTCCACCCCGCGCCAAGCCATATAGTGAACTATGCAGCTCTGCTCTCGCACTGTGGTTAAGCTGATGGTCCTTAGGAAGAGTTTTACATCCTCGTTAATCGATTCACGATAAAACATCCAGCTCTATCTTTCCAAAAAAAAAAATCATAGCCGGGGTTAAAGAGGGCATTGTGCACCAGAGCGAGGAGGGGAGGTTACAGCAGACGCGTAAGGAAGGTAAGTCCTTAGGGTCCTAGCGGAGAGATGGGAGAGGGCGAGGGGGCAGCAACGCGAACGCTGTTCTATTGTGAGCCCAGGTCTGCTCAGATGAAGGAATTCATTGCCTAACCGTGTCACCAGCAAGGTGACAAGCAGCTACGGTCTTAAATATTTCTCTTTTACTTGCCACAAGCTACCTGCATCTTAAATTGCTGCTTCCTAAGTTTTCAGCCGAGTTTCTCCCTAGCGCACGCAAGAGTTAGGGTGCCGGGGCGTACTCCAGCTCTGCTCTGGAGCGGAGCGTGCGACCCGTTCCTTGGCCAGGGGGGAGCGCAGATGTTCGGCGAGTAATGAGGACCAAGCCCCCTAGGAAGTCTTAAGCAAAAGCATTAATTTCTGATTTTTAAGAAGTCTTATCAGGTGAAATCTATATGCATACATGACAAAACACCCACGACTTTGTGCCTATGTCTTCACAGCGATCCTCGTTTTACGCTCGTCATTTGAAGGGGGGGGGGGTGTCAGTAAGGATTGCACAGCGGTAGTTAAGTCGCTACACAAAACCAAAACCAACTTGAAAGCACCCCGTTCCTCTTTAACCCCAGAAAGGGACAGAACCTCGTGTGTACTCCGCCATCCATCAGTATGTTGACAGGGCATCGGCCGGAGTGACGTGTTACGTGTTAGGAAATCTGGATGAGAAACTCTTTTTTTTTTATTTTTCCTCACTTTCGTTCAAGGCGGCTTAGGCATGCACCTCTTTCCCCAGAGCCTCGTGCTACGGATACCCGGTGTTGAAAGGCATGGTCTGGTTTAAACAGACGTCCAGCGTAATACCCTTGTGTGCAGAGTCTTGCCTCGTCCAGTTGGGGGGAGGGAGGGGGGGGGGGGGGGGGGGGGGTGTTTTGCAGTTCATTTTCCTGCTGTAGAAGACTTGATTTTTCTTTCCCTGAGCCGCATGAGAGAAACATCCCAGAAAGTCTTGGGTTACCTTTGGAGTTCCCTTCACTTTAATTTATATAGTGTCTTTTTTTGTGAACTGGTGTAAAATGTATATGCCGACAAGCTCATGTATTTTTATGTAAATATTTTTTGTGGTTTCCCCACTTGCCCTTCTCTGTAAATATTTAGAATTCTCATATTCTTCTCACCTTGTATGATGCAGATGTGGTTTTGTTTCTGTTTTTTATTTGTACTGTAATGCAACAATCCAGACTGAGGTGTCTTGTGGTATTAAAAGCAACAGTCCCACTGAGCTCACACTCAGATGTACAACTTGACAGCATTAATCAAGCCAGGTTAAAAACTATTCCGTTGTGTTTGTGTGTATTTTTGCCTCTGCCTCGTTAATTAACAGTCTGCTTTAAAAAAAAGTGGGGAAAGCCAGTTGAGAGCCCTGCTTTGGAGGGATGCTGGCAGGTATGTCAAAGACAAAGCAGGAGGTGGCATTGTATTCCCGTGGCAAGGTTCACCGTAAGCCCATGCTGCTGCTTGTCCCCTCAGTTACCCCTGGGGCCA